CCTGATGCTAAATGGAATAAAGCGAGTGGTGACCTCAGGGCCATGCCCTACATGGCTAATCTTCCAACTTATGAAGAAAGTTAAAGAAAAGTTTAAGCAGTGAAGGAAACCATAGAAAGCAGAAAGCTGATGAAAGTGCATTTGAATGAGGGAACTAAATTCTAGCCCCAGCAAATGAAAACTTGGAAGCTTCAGCTATGTGTTTCTGCCTGTAGAGTCAAAGATAGAAGAAAGAGGTTGTGGAATCTCCCTCTGTGACTAAGGCAAGCTGCTAAGGCCAGATGTGTATCTGGGTGTTCCTGCAGGGAGGCCCATTGTGCAAAGCTGTGAAGGTGAAGCCTGGATTGTGTGGGAGACCCCACAGGCAGTCACGGAATACCTGTCAAGGAAAACTGCAGAGCAGGTGTTGAACCAGCCCAAGAAAGACAAGTATGTTGTAGTCAGCAAAGCTGAAATGAGTCGGAGATTTGAAGAGTGCTTTGACATCAGATGTATAAGTTGTCATTTGCCCTGGTGGCTTTAGGTATTGCTTTGGTCTAGTATTTCCTCATATGCACCTCTTCCTTCCTTTTGAAATGGTAATTCATATTCCGTGACATTGTATGTTAGAAGTATATGATCTGTTTTTTATTTTTTTTATTTCACATGGGGGGTTACAGTTAAGAGATTGTTCATGTGTCTCAGACGCTTTGAACTTCGGACTTTTTAAACAGTGTCAAGGCTGTTATAGACTATGGGGACTTTTGAAGTTGGACTAAATACATTTGCATTATGATATGGCCACAAGCCTATGGAGGCCGGTGTTGTGGGACATTTGTACTCTGTGTGAAGGTGTATTGCTGTGATTGGTGTAATAAAAAATTAAACAACCAATAGCTAAGCAGGAGGTGTAGGTGGAATTTCCAGGGAGAGGAAGGAAGAGGAGGAGGAATCTAGGCACGTGGGAGACACCAGGAGAAAGAAGAGGAAATAGGAGGTGCAAGATGGAAGAAAGGAGCTGGGTGGTGGTGGCGCATGCCTTTAATCCCAGCACTCAGGAGGCAGAGGCAGGCGGGTCTCTGTGAGTTCGAGGCCAGCCTGGTCTGCAAAGCGAGTTCCAGGAAAGGTGCAAAGCTACACAGAGAAACCCTGTCTTGAAAAAAAAAAGATAGAAGAAAGGTAAAGTCACTGTGAGACCAAAATGAGACCAAAATGCCTTAATCTTAAAAATAAGGCCTAAGCTTTCTCCATTTTAGGTATAGGCCTTGAGTTACTGGAACCAGCCAACCCAGATTCCAGGAATTAGAAAAATGCAAAGTACAGAGTCACAAGGTATTCATTTCACAAGGTATTCATTAGGTAATGACTGTTTAACCATGGAATGTTCCAATGCTGGTTTCCAGGGTAACTGTTCCACCACAGAGTGTCCCAACCCTAGTCTCCATGGTGACTGCTTGACCACAGAAATGTCCCCACCCAAGGGCAGCCAATGAGGAACGGTGACACTGAAAGACCCCCGGAGGAGATCTTCCCTCAGAAGAGACCCCAACTCCAAGGAATACGCCGAAACCACGGATCAGATGCAAACAGCAAGAGGGTTTATTCAGATACACAGGTACCTGGGGCGACAAAGTCTCTCGGAGGACTTGTGTGCCTTCCTAGGGTAAGGGGGACTTTTTATAGGATCCCAGGGGCAGAAGCGCGGTTACAGAAGCGAGAAGCATAGTTACAGGGTTCCCATTGGTTGATTCAAATAAGGCCAGGGTGAACTTGGGGACATATTTTTAGTTCTCAGAAATTTGATGTGTGTGGCTGACTTGGCCTTGTGAGTGTTTTCCCAGCCCAACTGTTTATTCCCCAAGGCCAGGTGGCCAACCACAGATATCTTATTTTGACTCAACGGTTTTTCTCCCAAGGCCGGGTGGCCGACCACAGCTCTCTTTCCCAAGGCCGGGTGGCTGACCACAGATATGAACGCCTGTTTTTCTGGTACTTGCCTTGCTGAATGGCGTTTCTTAGCCTGCTATAAGCGGGGTCTTTCAACAGGCATCCACCCCCCTTAGATGTAAGATTAAGCCATGATTTCCCAGAAGCTCCCAGACATGAGCCAATCAGAAATGTACATGTATGGAAATCTCCTGCTATTGTAATTTTGTGGGTTTTGCCTTTAAAAGCGGTGCACAATTCAGGCTGGGCACTTCCTCCAGCCTCCACTGCGTTGGATGTATTGGACGAAGTCCCTGCCTAGGCTTGTATTGCTCTTGGATATCCCGAATTAAAACCTTACTTTTGCATTCCGGCATGCTTGTCTTTGGTGGTCTCTCTGGGGGTCGCAATCTGGGCACAACACCATGTGATGGATCAATATAAATGGGTTCATTTAAGTTATAAGAGCTAGTGAGGAACAAGCCTAAATAATAGGCCGAGGATTCATAATTAATAATATGTCTCTGTGTCATCATTTGTGAGCTAGTGGCCTAAAGGAAAGTCTGACTATAGCAGTGATTGGAATGTGGTGGTTTGAATAAGAATACCCCCAGCCAGGCTCATATATTTGAATGCTTAGTCATAGGGAAGTGGCACTATTTGATAAGGATTAGGAGGTGTGGCCTTGTTGGAGTAAGTGTGTCACTAGGGGTGGGCTGCATTTGAGATTTCAAAAGCCCAGGCCAGACAAGATTCACTGTATCAACTCTGTTCCTCTAGAGAACCCTGACTAATACAGGCCTCTTGGATCTTACAAGTTGTCTTGTTAGGATTTTTATTGCTGTGAAGTGGCACCATGACCAGGGCAACTCTTATAAAGGGAAACATTTAATTGTGGTGGTTCACTTTCAGTTCAGAGGTTTAGCCCATTGTCATCATGGTGGGAAGCAAGGCAGCATGCAGGCAGACAGGGTGCTGGAAAAGTAGCCGAGTGTCTTACATCTTAACCTGCAGGCAACAGGAAGTGGTCTGACTCACCGGGCACGGCTTGAGCATATATGAGACCTTAAAGCCCACTTCCACAGTGACACACTTCCTTCAACAAGATCACACCTACTCCAACGAGGCCACACCTCCTAATAGTGCCACTCCCTTTGGGGGCCATTTTCTTTCAAACCACCACACAAGTTTTGAGAAGTTTTCTGCCATTATTTCTTCACATTTTCTGGGTTCGTTTCTCTCCATTTTTGTCCCTGTGACTAAAGACCCGAGAAAACTGTTTGGGTAGGAGCTCCACCTCAACCCCTGGCACCCTGGCATCCCTATACCCAAAGAGTCTAGAATGTTCTGGTGCAAGATCCATCTCAACTCCTCTCCCCCATCTCTTCCCCTAAATCTGCCTCAGAGCCCACCAAACACAGCTCCTCCCCCAGAGAGGTTCAAGACTACTCCCACGGGGCATATAAGCTGCATCCCAGAAAACAGACATGTGTTCCTTCTGATCTCTCATCCCCGTCTCCTCTCCAAGGGGCCAGGTAATCACCCGGGAGCACTTTACCCATTAAACCGGGCCTTTTTCTAATTTAGTCTGATTTGGATTGCTGCGTCGGCAGATCGGGACACAAAAACTTATCAAAGACAACATAAATCAGAGAAGGTATTTGGGCTCAGTTTCCAGGACTTCGGTAGTCACAGGGCATCAGGGAGTCAGAGGCTGCTTACTTCGTGATAGCCTGGGAGGAGAAAGAAGGGAGGGGAGAGAGAGAGCAAGAGCACATGAGCTAATAGGCTCCTCCCTCCCTGCTGTTCCACCACACCATCCCCTGCCACCCACCCCTCCACCACTATTTATTGGATGGTTGTTTTCGATCCTTTTCTTGTTACTGTAACAAGAATAATACCTGACAGAAGCCACTCAAAGGAGAAAGGAATAGCAGGAGTGAGTGGCTGGGACTCCTCACACCTCCACAGACCAGAAAGCAGAAATCATAAAACCTCAATGGCTGGCCCCCAGTCACCTACTTCCTCTAGTGATGCTAAAGATGTGTTTCATACTTCCCCAAACAGTGCCGCCAGCAGTTGACCCAGCCGTAGTAGTTTAAGCGTTTAAACACGTGAGAACATGGGGGACATTTTTCATTCACACCACCGTGATGTTGCTCATCCTCATTGCACCTCTTTCCATTGCCTGGGACAAAGGCTTGATGACAGACAAGTGGTTGTCTTGCAAGCAAGGCAAGAACTTGGGCATTTGATGACTGTGGAGCTAGTGTCCCGGCCCTCGAACGCTTTCCCCCTTTTCTCAGCAGGGGAGATTAAACTTTTAAAAGGTGAAGTAGCACATTTCATATATACTTACTTAGTTTCGATTGACCCTTGTCACTCTTTTCCCATCCCCACTTCCATCCTCTCCTCCGCAGTATTCCCTTTTCACTTTCATATCATAAATGTCTGCAATTTTTAATATGGTGTTTGTATTTCCCTTTATGGAGTATTTAATCCCCATAAAGGCAGACTTTTTAAGCTCACCAACCTGGCTTCTGTTTGGAGTCATATGGGAGTATTTTAAGAACACGCCCTGAGTGCCTGAGCTCAGAATTTCAGCGCAGTCACTGGTGTTTGTAAAATCTGCCCCTGATGAACTCTGCAGCAGATTCTGAGAACCATTGTTTTAATATCAAGCTCTGGGCAGCTGACTGGGTTGTGGTCCCAGCAGGATGATCAATGAATTCACCTGTGAGCCCCAGGGCTCAAAAAAGCGGCCTTTCCACGCTGGAAGCCAGCCAATCCTGCCCCAGCACCGCCTTCCAGGCTCCGCCTCCGGCCCCGCCTCCGGGCACCGTCTCTAGGCCCCTCCTCCGGCCCCGCCTCCGTCACCGCCTTCGGGCCCCGCCTCTAGGCCCCGCCTTCGGGTCCTCCAGGCCCCGCCTCTAGGCCCCGCCTCCGGGCACCGTCTCCAGGCCCCGCCTCCGGGTCCCGCCTTCAGGCCCCGCCTTCGGGTCCTCTAGGCCCCGCCTCCGGGTCCCGCCTCCGGGCACCGTCTCCAGGCCCCGCCTCCGGGTCCCGCCTTCAGGCCCCGCCCAGACGCTGCGGAGTTGAGCGGAAACAGGTTCGCTAACAGAGTCTGCGCAGTTGGGGGAACGCGCTTGTGCGCTTGCGCCCTTCTGAGGCGCCAGGTCAGGCACACAGTTTGAATTTTAGTTCTGGAAGCAGATCAGCTTTCACGGATCCGCGTTTTGGCAGTAGACTGGTTCACTCACGCCCCAGCCGCAGCGAAGGATCTTTGCTCCCACACTCCGCGAGGTCCCTGGCCCGGAAGCCGCCGGAGTCATCGCTTAGCAGGTGAGGGTACCGGGCGACGGGGAGGGTCGGCTTCCCCCTTTTCAGACTTCGGTGTCCTGCTAGGCACGGCCATCCTGGATCTGGGCAAATTTTATACTTGGTAACTGCATTGCGCGGTTCTCCAGCATGAACTTGACGATGTCGTGGCGCAGTGTCAAAAGATTGGGCACACCTGCTCAGATCGGCATCTCTTCACTCACCCCTGCAAGGATCTTTCGCCCCGTCTTACACCCAAAATATGAGGCCTCGACTCCTACCCAACCCAGAGGAAGGTGGTAGCTCTGGTTTAAGGTGTCTGGATATCCGGCAGAAGCCTCCAAGACATGTTGCTATTGTGTTTGTTAGACACTGAATTTTGTAGAATTGAGAGCCGGGGGGAGGGGGGGGGAATGCCCCCGAATTGTGTTTTTTCCTTTCAAAGCATGTTGTTTACTACGTTTAGATTTTGAAAGTGAACAGAAATTTGGCTTTACATAACTTTCTTTTTAAAGCGTTTCTATGTGTTTTATTCAGACGCTCGAAAGATGGCCTCAGATCTAGAACAGTTATGCTCTTATGTTAATGAGAAGATTGGCAATATCAAGAAAATTCTGTCAATAAGAAGTCTTGGTAAGCAAAATTGACTCACTGCTTTGGTGGGCACACAGTGCGTCTTGATTATTGTTCTGCCATGAATGTCTCTTAGTAAGGTAATTTTAGATTTTCAATGGTGATTTTTCAAAACACTCTTTTTAACTGTTTTAAATAATGCAGAGGCAATGTTAAGTAATGGGTGAATATTTAACTTTATTTACTTACATTTTTCTTAGCCATAGAGCCAAAAATAAGATTTGAACATGTAACATCCATGGTTCTAGAGCTAAAGGATTTACTACTCCAAAAGAGAAAAAAAACAAACAAACAAAACCAAAACCAACCAACCAGATAAACAAATAAAAACTTCAAATGAAAAAAGATTTACTAAGAGTGAAGTATCCCATAACCAGTTCTCATCTTGTTGTGGAGGAAGCTTATCCCTATGTATCCGGGTGAAACAGCTCATTGAAAATGAAATTGTTAAGGCATAAAGGTCAAAGAAACAGATAAGCCTTACCAAGTCTAAGATATTGTAAAAATCGAGTTAGTTCCCTGACATTGTCCCGGAGAGTTCAAAGCTTTCTTAATAGACAGAATTCTGTCTTCTGGAAAGATTGTGGAGATTTTGCTATAGTTTGTGAGGTGGATTGGTAGTTTAAAGTTTTAATTTTCTTTGAAATATGAAATTCTGTTAAATATCCCTCCTTGAAATTTGGTATTTTCAGTCCTTATTTGAGAATTCCTGATAAAGGAACCGGTTTATTTTGTGATTCATGGTTCACATGCTATAGCAAGTTAAATCAAAAATGTCTGTGAACTCAACATAGCAAGCCCTCTCATTTTATACTCAAGGAGACCAAGATAAGAAGAGGCTTGCTGGAGTCATCCAGCTCTTGAGCACTCAGGTGGGATGATGGTACTCAGTCTGAACTCCTACTGCATTATCCTTCCACCCATATACCATTTTTATTGAAAAAAATCTGGTTACACATAGCAGCACACACTTTTGATCCTAACACTCGGGAGGCAGAGGCAGGCACGAGTGAATCTCTGTGAGTTTGAGGCCGGCATGGCCCACTTAGTGAGCTCCAGGACAGAACTACATAGTGAAACACTGTTTTAAACAAAACAAAAATACAAGAAAGAAATTGGATTTTTAATGATTAGCTTTCTTTAGGATCTCTTTATGAGTTCTAGACTATAGTTGGATAAACATAATTTGGGGGTCTATAAAGTTGGATTCAAACAGCCCCACCAAAGTCTGACTGGAGTAGTGAGATCTACCAGACCGATGTCATTCTGTAGTTGAGAATAATACTTTGTTTCCACAGCCTTTTGATAAAGTCTGGTAATTTCTCCCACTGTGGCTGCTATACCAGATACCTAACATCAAGTATGAACTTGTTGTATTACTATAGATCAGTAAAGAAGAATCTAAAGTACAGATGACTAATTTTTTTTTTTTTTTTTGAGATACCAGTGTTCAGAAAAGATACTATATCCAGCTGGTTAACTCACCTTCCTGAAGTTATTCTTAGTACAAATATCAGTACCCTTTTAACATTAACTTATCAGAGCCACGTGGCTAAACCCAGCACTTGGAAGGCAGAGGCAGCAGATCTCTGAGTTCAAGGCCAGCCCAGTCTATGTAGTGAATTCCAGAGCAGCCAGGGCTATGTAGTGAGGCCCTGTCTCAAAAAAGCAAAAACAAAGCCCCTGAAGTTAACTTAGCTGTTCATTTAGTCGTTATGAATTGTCAGGTAGCTTCAGCATTGCACGGCTAGAGTACCACATGATCCTCACAGAGATGTCGTAGGTGGCATTTAACACGGGGTTTGCTAATTCCCAGATGCAATATTAAGTCGTCCTTGTCCTCTCATGTAGGAACCTTTGCAGCAACCCCCGTAACAGGTACCGCTATCTCAGACTTCAGGCCAGGAGCTTCTAGCTATTTCCTTTGCCTCTACACAGTCCATAAATATGGTCAAAATGTTCTTCACTTATTTGTATTTCATTGTTTGGTTGTTTGAAGCCCATATAAAAATTCTTTTTTTGAGATAGGGTCTCTGTGTAGTCCTGGAACTCTGTAGACCAGGCTGGACTCGAAATTCACAGAGATCCTCCTGCCTCTGCCTCCTGAGTGCTAGGATTAAAGGAGTGTGCATCCCACCCAGCTGGCCTTAAAACTTTTAAAGTTACTCTTAAAACACCATTTTGTTTTATTTCCTTGGTGTGTATGTTTGCAGGAGTGGCTTTTCTGCTTCCACTGTGATCAAAACCAGGTTGTTAGTTAGGCTTGACAGGAGCTTCCTTTACCCGCTGAGCCGTCTTGCTTGTTCTAAATCACTTCTGTTTGTAGGGAAGAAGGAACTCCAGGTTATCCAATCCCTTTCCACTCGGAGTCTAGAGAGGTGCTAGGTGGTACAAGAAGTATAAACACCCTGTCTTGTCTTTGTTTCTTCCAGGTACCCAGTCTGTATTTGTGTTGTTGTTTCTATCTCTGGTTAAGGTTTTGAGTAATGGGGATGGTGTAAATATGAATTCCAAGCTTATATTACAAACTCCCAAAGAGAGCCTCCCCTGTCTCCAGCCCCGCCCCTGTCTTCAGCCCCGCCCCTGTCTTCAGCCCCGCCCCTGTCTTCAGCCCCGCCCCTGTCTCCAGCCCCGCCCCTCTATACAAACGCACTTGAAGCGCAGTCTAAACATGAGTTTATCTCCCTAGCACTTGAAGTTTTTCGGGTTACACTTTAACAATGTGTCCTCTGAAGCACGGTAACAGCCTCACTTGAGATTTTTCATTTCTAGCATCCTGTGGTTTGAGGGCTCAAAGTCATTGGCTCTTTACCACAGTGAAGTCAAGGGGAGGCAGTCATTGAGACTGAAAACCTCCTCTCTGGCATTTTTTCCACATATAATTGGATTGTTCTACCTCTACTCATACACTCTACTTGGTGTCTGTGTGTCCCACCTCATGTCAGCCCCGGAAGAATGACCTCTTCCTCATGGATGCTTATATACAGGTGTTTATCATTTCCAGATGTTTTTTTTTTTTTTAAAGATTTTATTTATTTATCATGTATACAGTGAGTGTTAAGCCTGCAGGCCAGAAGAGGGCACCAGATCTCATTACAAGATGGTTGTGAGCCACCATGTGGTTGCTGGGAATTGAACTCAGGACCTCTGGAAGAACAGCCAGTGCTCTTAACCTCTGAGCCATCTCTCCAGCCCGATTTCCAGATGTTTTGTTACATTGAGAAGATTTGCCAAAAAGCAGCAGGAAGCACTTTGTACTTGTCTGTCTCCTCCTTCTCTTTCTCAATACTTTGAAATGAAAGTTAGGCCAGGCCTGGTGGCATACACCTATAGCCCTGCACTGGAGAAGCTGAGGGAGGAGGATTTAAGGTCAGCCTGGGCTACTGCATAGCAAGACCCTGTCATACATTAATAACAAACAAGACCGATGAAGTTTAAAGTAACCTATGGAGACAGGTCTCAGAGCGAAGAACTCGTTGTTTCCCACCCCAGTGGTTTTCTACAGCATAGCTGTCGGTCAAGTTTACATGGGACTTGTATGTTTTGGTTTGATATATATTTTGTTTTCCATTTTCTCTTTCTTTATAACAGGCCAAGCACCTGCCTTGAAGACCACCTTAAGTAAAATAGGAGATGAGATCATTACAGTAAATGAACTCCTAAATAAGTTTGAATTGGAAATTCTGTATCAAGAACAAACCAACAAATCACTTAAGGTAGTGCTTCCCTGACTTTTAAACAGAGGGCAGTAAACACAGACTCCCTAAGCACCAGGTCATTTCTAGGGATCCTTTATGTTTGTGATGTTCTTGGCTTTGTAAATTAGTCTAGTATTTTTGTTCTCAGTAGAAAGGAGGTCAGAATGCCAACTGTTTCTTTATGCTAATGGTTTCTAAGGAATTTTTGTAGGCCGGTTTAATATAAACAAATGGTGTCCTGGGGGAATGCTGAGTGAGAACACCTGCCTTGAGTGGATGTAGGGCCTTCCCTTGGTCGCCCTTGGTACTCTGCCATGCTGGGAAAGCCATTTCACCTCTGGAGGGCTCGGGATCCTCATTTAAAGAATAATGGAAGACTGTTTCTCAGCTGCTTTCTGTTTCTTCATTTCTATAAAACATCAGAATGACTCATTAGAGAAAATCTTGAACTTCATTCACGTGTACTTTTTGTTCTAAATAAGACTTCTGATTAACGTCAGCTAATAAGAGCGTTGTGTACTTTCCTAATGAGGAAAACATAACTGTGCCATGTTCAGTTAGGTTGAAAAGGTAGCCTTGCCTCCAAGCTCCCCGTCAGCCTGCACTCTTCATGGTCTGAGAAGACTTTTCAGCTCTAGACATGGGCATACTTAGGCTTAATCTAATCCCTAGTCAAAAGTAAAACATGGTCGTGAGCATAATTGAGTTCTTGAAAAGAAAGATGTCATAGCTTCGAAATGGAAAACAATATTGGTCTATCAATTTCTACCTGTCCAGGAACATGCAGACTTATGTGAGAGCCCAGACTGTGTTCATCCGAGACATGAAGTCTATTCACATGATTGACAGCCAGGTGTCAAGAACCCAAAAGTACAGATTATTTTCTGAATTAAAATTTACATGAGTTCATTGCCCCAAGTTCTAGTAGAAGTTAAATAAAACACACACACTGTACACACCCACCTCCCACCTACACACTATATATATATACACACACACACATATACACACACTCACATATTGTATACACACCACACACACACACACACACACACCACACACACACCACACACACACACACACACACACACACACACACACACACAAACACACACCGAAACACTCAACCAAACAAAAACCCTAAACTTAAAACCAGAAACATATGACTGCCTCCCTGGGTTGACTTTGATGGCTCTGGTGCTCTTTCATAGGCCGCACTGGGAACATTGCTAACTCGATAAGAGCAATTTGCTAGATTGAAAAACAGCAATATTTCATTTGTTTCTTAGTTGCTTCCCAAGGTTAAAGTGTCTGGGAAAGACTTAAACTTCAACCGGATCTCATGATTATAATGTGATTGATTATCATGCTTGTTCTCTGAAAAAGAAAAAGAAAATCCAATAGAGAAAAGTATCATCTAGAAGCAGCTCTAGAAGTTATAGGTCTCCCCTCTCCTGCCCCCGACTTTTTGTGTGTGTTGATGATCAAACCCAGGGCCTTGTACTTGGTAGGTGAGTGTTCCACCACGGAGCTACACCCCAGCCTGAAGTTCTCCGTATTATTTTGTTGTTCATTTGAGCTTGCCTTTGGTGCTTTCCCAGTATGTTCTGTGTTCTCAGCACTTACAAGGACTGTGAGTGTCGCTTACAGTCTGTCCTGACTGTGTACACACATCACCCATGTAGAGGAGGAAGTCCTGCTCACAAGCATTTTTGACACTTAGGAGCTCTGTGCATCTCTGGAAGACGATTTTAAAGATGTGGAGCATCTCAAAGAACACATTCCTTCCTATTTGCCTCAAGTGACAGCGACCCAGAGCTTGTAAGTATATTTCTGAGTCTTGCTGTCTGGAGTTATTTGTGGAAACAAATACCTCAGTCATTTTCTGTCCCATGCTTGGATTTTTTTTTTGTCAGTGTTCATTCAGTTTCTTGTCTTGCAATAGAACCATACTTGGCCTGTCTCCTCCAGTTTCCTCCTTCTGCACCTCTGAGGGAAATGGCCCCTTTCCTCAGGCAAGGCTTCCCTGGACACTCTTTCTCCTGTTCTTAGACTTTCAGGCTTAGGCCAGAACATTCTTTGCTGTGAGAATAGGGTGTTTAGTAGTATCATTGTCTCCTTCCACTGTATACGCGTCTCATGCCTCCTGGCCAGATTGACAGTGAAGGTCTCTGAACATCAGCAAGATTTTAACCTCCGTGTAGTATCTCCATCGACCCTTGGGAACCAGGGAAACCTCTCCCTTTAGGGTAAGCTAAGCTCAGTGAACCCTGAAAAACAACTGGAGAAGCCATCAGCTTTCCACTTGCCATTCTCCCAGAGGCCCTCATGCCTGGCCTTCAGCTACCGCTGCCACTTCTCTTGTGCAAACGATGACTTGAAGGTTGCAGGGAGACGAGTTCTTCCTCGGCTCCGTGTCTGTGTTCCTCGCTCACCCACTTTGTTTCCAGGTGCTGTGTCCATGCTGCCCTGCGTTTCCTTGGCTGCCGCCCTCCATTGCTCAGATGTGGCTGCTCCTGTCCCGCTCGCCTCCGTAAACCATAGTTCTTGTGTGCTTACCTGACTCCAGTTGTCGATGCTCTGAAATGTGCAGTTCTTGTCTTGCCGTCTAGTTATGGTGTTCTTGGGACCTGCTGGAAATCTGGGAGGAGCTGTTTTCTCTCCAACTTCGCAGGTCCAAGGCTGAACTCAGTGATTCCTTTGTTAGCCATGTATCCACCTCTTGCTTTTTTTGCCTAGGCAAGATCGTCCTGTCTTCACTGTTTCTTGTTCTCTCTTAGCTACCAGCTGTCCAATATGTCTCTCAGGTTTTGTGTTTTTTCCTTGTTCCCATTGCCTGGCTCTGAGTAAGATCTATCATTTTTTTTGTCTTTATAATATGAGTTTCTGTGTCGTGGCCCCCCCCCCCCCCCGCCCCCAATCTCTCTAATCCTAACACCAAAATTGTGTTTCTAAAAGATGCTTTCAGTAGGTACAAACATTCCATGGCTAACTTAATTTTTGAAGTGTATCATATGTATAGAAAAGTGATTATTTTTAGTAGTGTATGTAAAAGTCAAAGAATAGTCAGTATCCATGTATGTACGAGCTAAACTTAGAACATATTACCAGTACTGTAAAACATTTCTGATGCAGATGATTCCTCCACTGTACAGGTAATGGCTATTCTGGTCTTGAGAATGCTTAGGATTTCCCTACAAGAAGAGAAGACTGCCAGGGAGAGTCACGCATGGATATTTGGGGAAAAGCGGCCTCATGGTTATTATTCAGGAATATAGAGTGGGCTGGACATTGGATATCCGAAGAATGTGGCCAGCAGAACAGAACTGCTGTAGCCCAGCTTCCATTATCCAGGTCAGGTCAAAGCGGTTTTGAATAGGTTGAAGATATTTTCAGTGGATACAGTGAGCTGGGCATGCAGGAGTGAGTTATCAGGCACATTCTTAGCACATGATCAGGAAGAGAAAGTTAAGAATCAGGTACAGGGGAGAGTCAGCCAGCTTAGTGATGAGGTCATGTTAGCATTCAGAAAAGGATGGCACCGTCGCTGTTCGTTTTTACTGTAATTCCTACCGTAGCTCGACTTCACAGCCAAGATAGTATTTCAGATTTTGTCGACAGCCCACAGCAGCCAGTCATGTTGGCTGCACTCGGGGTCTGGCTGCCTGTTGTTGTCGTTCTGGGGAATTCCTTCGCTTGTTTCTGTGTTGGATCTACAGATTTCTGAACTGGTATCTTTCTTGGAACATTTTAGCCATTGTGGGTACAGATGTCTCTTCCGTCTTGGCAGTTAACCTCAAAGCCACAACCCGTTTCTAGACTCTATTTGCCAGAATGAGTCTCCAATAGATCTTGACTAACAGTAACAACTAACAGAATGTACTAGGACAGATGAACATGGCTGATGTTTCCAGGTTCAGAACTAGGGAAATGAAGAGAACTATTTGAAGTTGAGTTCGGCTCTACACATGTTGACTTTGAGAAGCAAATAGGAATTACTGGTGAAGGCATGCAGTGTATATTCTGTGCATGACATGTTTTGGGTATGTAAATGAAAATAGTCATACTCTGAAGATTTAGTAACTTAAATTTTCAAAATTTTTCTCATAATTTAGATGTTCATAACCAAGGGGTAGGGCTAGAAAGAAAAAGTTGGCTATAAAATGATTAAACTAGGATATATCACCCATTTATAGTTTTCCCTCCCTCCTTGAAAAAAATATCTGGTATGCTGTTTAATTCTAACAATTACCTGTATGTATGTTCATCTCTACTCTGTAGGGTTAACCAGTCGGATCTGGATCCTAAAGAACTAGTCGAAGCTGAGGAGCCTGTACTGGCAAAGAAGCCTCCCAAAGAACAGAAAGTTATTAAGGAAATGCACTTTATAACTACTGATGAATTCAATGGTGTTCCTGCGTAAGTACTGAGCATAAATTCTAATGTTCAACACTACTAATCAACATACATAATTGTTTAAGTCATAACACTTGGTAGCATGAATTGTAACGTGTGATGTTGAAGTAAAAAGGCCAGAAAGTGTTTGTGACAGGGTCTCACTATGTAGCCCTGGCTGGTCTGGAACTCATATATAGACCAGGCTGGCCTTAAACTCACAGAGATCCACCCATCTCTCCTCCTAAGTACTGAGATTAGAGTCGTGTGCCACCACACCCTTGTACTGTGTCACTTTGTGATTTGGTGCCTGCCACTTTTCTTGCAGAAAGTCTAGCATTTTAGATACATTCGCGATTTGCTGGAATACTATCACTAAGGGAAGGGAGAGATGTAATTACATTATAATCTCAAAGGAAAAGTTTGTGTGATGATTTTAAAGAATAACTACATACATTGGAACATTCAGCCCTCAGCAGGATGTCAATCAAATCCCTCTCCTCAGGGCTCAGGGAGCCCTACAGAAGAGGACGTAGAAAGAGTGTAAGAGTCAGAGGGGATGGAAGACATCAAGGAATCGAGGCCCTCTAAATCAACATGATCAAAGCACATTTGAACTCACAGACTGAGGCAGCATGCACAGGACCTGCATGGGATTGCACCAGGTCCTCTGTGTGTTTATTATCCAGTTTCGTGTTTTTATGGGATTCATTCCTGAGTGTGTGAATGAGTAGGTCTCTGATTCTTGTGCCTTCTCTTGGGCTCTTTTCCTTCTGTTTATCCAATTCCAATGTGCTAAGGTTTTGTTTTACCTTATTTTATTTTATTATTTAAAAAAGTAGTAGAAAAAAAAATAAAAAAATAAAAAAAAGTAGTAAATATTTAAATATATAATGAAGAAAATATAAAAGATTATAAAATATAAAAAATAAAATGTAAAAAAGAAATAACTATACTTTTTTTAAAAAACAGGTACATGAAATCCCGCTTAACATATTGTCAAATTAATGATGTTATTAAAGAAATTAATAAAGCAGTAGTTAGTAAATACAAGATTGTGCATCATCCAAAAGCATCTATGAATTCTGCGAAGAGAAATCTCTACCAAAGGTTTATTAATGAAGAAACAAAGGATACAAAAGGTAAAGTGATGTAATCTATACGGACCTGTCAGCTGTTTGGAGGATAGCAAACTGTGAACTCTAGGAAATGATGCATCTGAGGAGCTAATTATCTGCAGTTGTGCTAACACTTCACTGCATGCTTGGCCACTCTTAGTCCTCAAAGCACCCTTGTCCCATTTTGCAGACTGGATAAAGAGCTCGCAGCTCATCCAAGGTCTTCTAGTTAGGAGCTGCTGTGGGTCCCTCTCTGTTTACCATTTCCACAGAATGTCTCTGGAGAAGTGAGCTGTTAAGGCGTTACCAACTCTGCTCATGACAACAGAGCTACCCTGAAGAAGTGCAGCAGTGATGTCGTGTAGCCGCAGTAGATGGAACATTATTTTAGCAGGAATCCTATGTCCTACTGTTTCATATTTGGATAGGGACAGTAAGAAGGACCCAGCCAGTCACAAGGTGATGCCATAAAAACTTCTGTGAGAATTGGGCTCATGAAAGTTAGAACCTGGTGTTTCTCTTTTCAGGTCGTTACTTCATCGTGGAAGCTGACATAAAGGAATTCACGGCTTTGAAAGCTGACAAGAGGTTGTATGTGATCTTGAACATCCTGCGGCATTGCCAGAGACTGTCAGAGGTTCGAGGGGGAGGACTCACCCGATATGTCCTAACCTGAGGCTTTTGCAGGCTTGGGACTGACTGGCAGGATATAGGGCGTAGAGGATAGTCTTGAAATTTCATATGTAATGTTTTTAGCTTCTGCATTTCCTAGTCTTGTTCCTTACAGAAATAAAACTTTGTTTGGATAAAGTATGTGTATCTTCAAAATGTACTGCCTTTAGGAACATCCCGTGGATGAAACTGGAGCTCAGAGTACACACATAAGCCAGAGTCAGAACAACAAATGATCTCATATGTGGAACCTAGATGGAAATGAGATAGGTGTATAAGTGCAGATCGTGAGACTGGAAAGGGAAGGGAGAAACGGAAGATAATGGGATGTTGTGATAGGCGAGCAGAAAGGAGGACTGTCTGGAAACCAGCCCAGGGGTGGGCATTAGCGAGCACAGGGAAGGACAGGGCATAATGACACACGGTGTATGAGAATGTAGTAATGGGACTCATTCCTTTGTATGCTAACTTAAAAATTAATTTAAAAAAAATCACTGCCCGAAAAACCAAAAAAAAAAAAGCCGGGCAGTGGTGACGCACGCCTTTAATCCCAGCACTCGGGAGGCAGAGCCAGGCGGATCTCTGTGAGTTCGAGGCCAGCCTGGACTACCAAGTCAGTTCCAGGAAAGGCGCAAAGCTACACAGAGAAACCCTGTCTCGAAAAACTAAAAAAAAACAAACAAACAAAAAAAAAAACATCACTGCCTTGTAGCAGATAGTCAACACTGCCGTGTCCAGCCTCTGTTTGAGGAGTGCAGTGAAAAGCACATAAGTTTGGTTAAGTAAACAGTACTGTAGATATCATGAGCATAGATTTGATGTTGAGGAAGATGAAGGTACCCAAGCCCTCTGGGGTATAAAATCTGATTACTGAGTTTCCATGTACCCTTAGGGAACAGCTTGCCTAAAATGCATTCAGTATAAGCCAGCCTGTCTGCTTCAGCCTGTAATGAAGTATGTTGAGATGCTGTAATATTGTCGTATAATAAATATGTAGTACATCTTCACTTCCGGTTCTTTGTTCAGAATTTCTAAAACCCTTGTAGTGTCCTAAGTGATAGGATGCGACTGTGTTGACCCCCAGGTCCCGACTGTAGTTCTCAAGTGCCTGTGAATTCCCTCTGATCAGAGCATCTCTTGTTCTGATTACAGTGAGCTGATTCTTGGATGGTTTCTAGGAGGGACCTGGTTACCGGAAATACACAAAGCCGGGACTAGAAAGTTGCAATTTTGAGCTGATCGCCACTCCCGGGGCGGGGGTGGGGAATTGGGCTTAGAGATTAACTATTGATCATGCCGATGGGCTGCGCCTGTGCTGCATCCTTTGCCTGTGAAGTTTGGAGAGTGTCCTCGTTGGAAAACATTGATGTGCCAGGAAGTGATGGACCCCAACTCTATGTGGACCGAAGTTCTGGTGCCTAAGACCTTTGAGGCCACCTCTTCATTCAGCTGCTAATTTTCTTAAAGCCAAATCCAGTGCTTTCCTGCATTTCTTAAGTTGTCCTAGCAAAATTACCAAACCCCTAACAGTGGGGGTTATTAGAGTTCTCTAGAACAGTGCGATGAAAATACATATATATGAATTTATTAAGTTAGTTTTAGAATAGCAAGAACAGCTAAACCACACAGAAGCTGTGAACCCAGTAGTTACTTAGTTCTTGAAACTAGATGCCTCAATAATCCAAGTGGAGGGCAGCAATGGGTAGTGACTTAGTCCACAAGGTCCAGGGCCTCAGTAATCTGATCTTGCCGAGAACCACTGGTCCCCAGTCCATGATGATAGCTTGGACATGCAGGCGAAGAATCAGCAGCAGCAACAGGACAAACCGGCTTGGTAGCAAGAGGAAGGCCAGCCGAGCAGGAGGCAAGATGGTCTTCCTGCTGACATCCCCTTTGTACCTGGGCTGCCAGCAGAAGGTGCAGCATAGAATCAGGGTGGGCCTTCCCACATCAGTCAGGGTGATGGACAGTTCTAAAGGGGATTCTAATCTGTGACAAACTGCTATTAAAGGTAACCATGATAGATCATAGAAATTTTGATTTGTAGCCAAATAGGATGCAAGTGTGCATAGTCTGGGGACCCGAAGCCGGGGGTAGTCTTGTGGGTCTTAGACCTTAACCAGGGGGCTACACTAACTCTAGGTAGTGTTAGCATTGAATTGTGGGGTGCCTAGCTGCTATCCATATTCTTGGAGAGTTGATACCTGTAGGGGGAAAAGCCCTGCACATTTGGGATCAATATGTGGATGTATAATAGAAGGAAACAGCTTTTCCTAGTGAGGTGGAAATGGTAACGTGTAAACAAGTTGAAAAGGGTCAGGAGAAAATGGTAATTGGATTCTAAGAACTTGTCGTGTTCCTCTTCTGCACCTGGGGAGGCTGTCTGGTCTATTAATAGCTATGCCATCTGCTTGCCAGGCTCATCTCTGCAGTAGAGAAAAAATGTGTACCATTACTGTGATGGCCACAGAGTGAATTATAGGCCCTGCATATTCATTATTAGCCATCTTTATTCAAATGCAGGCATGTTTTTAATTTTCGTTTTTGTGGTTCTAGAGGTCAAGCCCAGGGCCTTACACATGAGAAGCAAGCTCTCTGCCAACTGCAAGAAACTCTTGAGCCATTTATTTATTTTTATATTCATTTGACCAATTATGTTCATTTAGGTATGCAGTTGATAAAGCATAAAGAGAAAAATGCAGGCATTGATTTTAAAACCACTAATCTTGACTGTTGTGGGATATTTTGATCATACGCTGGTACTCCTGAGACTGCCACTAAAGCTAAATCTTGAATCAGGGGCGGAGCCAGTGACTAGCTGACCGGAATTGCCCATAGAAGAGCCAGCAATTTGGATAGAAAAAATGCACAGGATGTAAAGGGTGGAGACTTGAGTTTGTCACTTCCTTTTGGTTCTGGGACTAATGGAGAGATGTGTCTCTTGCAGTGTCTTCTGCCAAAAAGGAAGATCAGCTAGTTGCTACTCAACCTCTCTGAGCTAGCAGGTTTTCAGCCCAGCCTCTGACTCCTGAGTCTTATTGGTTAAATAGAATGATAGAGACTTCACTTAAGCCTACATATTCTGGCTGTGGCAGAGCCAGGACTGCAGGCCACAGACAATAATTAGAATATCAGTAGATTCATGTGCAGCTGCTAAGACGACCTTTAAGAAAAACATCACTTGACCTTCATTTTCAAGCCAAGCAACCGACTACTTACTCATTTTTTTGTGAATGGCATCTTTAAGAAACGTTTTCATCCTAGCTCTGCCCTCAGGTCCATCTCTCACCCTTTTTGCTGTCTGTCTGCTCATGGCATTCTGTAAACTTCTCTTGAGGAGCCATGCACGGTCTCTTCACTCCATAGGGCACCAACAACAGACCAGAGGAACCATTCCATCCGAGTCCAGCTTGGTGAACCAATGGCTTTATCGAGCTTTGTCTTGGGAGCATGGGTGACCGCAGAAGAGCTGCACCACTTACAAGGTCCAGCGTAGCCTGAGTGCCAGCCTCCTGGAGGATGCAGTCCCTCCTTCCATCTCTTGTGTGCCCTAGCACCTCCCAATACCATGTGCAACTGGGGCTGGGGCCAGGAGGGGTAAGTGGCTGTAGTCTTAGGTGAGGGTCTGGTGACCCTGACCCCATGCCTATGAGGGAATGGCAGCTGCCCTGATCTTGTGAGAGCCTTGCACAGTAATCACAAGCTGTGCTTGATTAAGATGATAACAGCTGTATCCCGGCTGGAGAGCCGAGTTCTCCAACACATAGGAATGCATCCCTGTGTGTTCTGGCAGCAGCCTGCAGAGCCTGGGGCCTGATTTACTCACCTTACCCCACCACCGGCAAGATGGGTGGTGGGCATCGGAAGTTCCCAGTTAGGAGATATTAATATTTGTGTGGCATTAATCTAAAAGGCAAGTGGGGAGGCACCCAGAATTTGAGTGGAGGGGCTGACAGGATGGCTCAGTGGGTAAAGGTGCTTTCTGACAAGCCTGAACTGGAAGCATTCACAAAGTGGAAAGAGGGCACTGACTCTCACAGGTTGTCCTCTGGCTCCACACACATGCTCAGCCACACGTGTGTACACACACAGCAACAAGTGTGTTTTTAAAAATTCTCTTAAATTGATTTGAGCCAACGTGAGGATGACCTCCTGGGGAGACATGTATTCTATTTCCCCAAAACAAGTGTGGTGAGATGGCATCCAGAGGGTCTGTTTTTATTGATTTAAAAAAAAAAAAAAACAACCAGGAAGGGCTGCAGTAACATGGTTATCACAGCTCCATTAGTGCACATGGTGAGCACGGGTCATTGATAGGTCACCGCTCTTGTGATAATCAGGTAAGGCCTTTTCCCAGGGTTATCTTCACAAAGTCAGAGTCGGCATACTAGAGCAGGATAATGGAAGAAACTGCTATCATGCCTGGACTGGCTGGTTGTGTGTGTCAACTTGACACAAGCTAGAGTCATCAGAGGAAGGAACCTTGTAGCTAGAGTTTTCCTGCCTGGCCCACGGTCAGGGCAAATCTCTCTCACCTGCCATTCCCACAGTCGCTTAGACCCAACCAAGTAAACACAGAGACTTATATTGGTTACAAACTGTATGGCCGTGGCAGGCTTCTTGCTAACTGTTCTTACAGCTTAAATTAATCCATTTCTATAAATCTATACCTTGCCACGTGGCTCGTGGCTTACCAGCATCTTCACATGCTGTTTGTCATCGTGGCGGCTGGCAGTGTCTCTCTGACTCAGCCTTCCACTTCCCAGCTTTATTCTCCTCCTTGTCCCGCCTATACTTCCTGCCTGGCCACTGGCCAATCAGTGATTTATTTATTGACCAATCAGCAACACATTTGACATACAGACCATCCCACAGCAGAACCTCAGTTGAGGAAAGGCCTCCATGAGGTTCAGTTGTAAGGCATTTTCTCACTTAGTGATTGATGGGGGAGGGCCCAGCCCATGGTGCGTGGTGCCATCCCTGGGCTGCTGGTCCTGGGTATATAAAAAGGTGTACTGATCAAGTCATGAGAAGCAAGCCAGTAAGTAGCACCCTTCCGTGGCCTCTGCATCAGCTCCTGCCTGTGAGATCCAGCCCTGTTGGAGTTCCTGTCCTGACTTCCTTCAATGATGAACAGAACTACTGAAGTGTAAGCCAGATAAACCCTTTCCTCCCCAACTTGCTCTTTGGTCATGGTACCTATGGCAAGGCTCATCAGGGCTGGGCATGAACAAGCAGCCCAGGTTCTGAGACAGATGAGGCCAAAGCAGCCCGAGGGGACACCCATCTCCTCAGGAATTGTGAAGGGGGACCTTTACATTGACTCCTGGAGAGGTAGCAGCTCAGCTGTCTGTCTGCTCTCCTGAGTGAGTGTCAGGCTTGTCTCCATCTCACCTTTCAGTGCCAGGTCCCAGGCCTAACTCAGCTGGACCTGTAGCAGTCTGGCTCATTTCCAAACTTAACAGAAGCAGCTGGTCACAGGGCATATGGGCTTTGTCCCTCGGAGTAGGTGGGAGGCTTTGGCCACTGGGTGTACCTTTCCCAGTGAGAGAGCAGATGGAACTGGCAGATAAACTCCTGTGTCTACTTGGGAGTTTGTTTTCTAATCTCCCTGGGACCATGCTCTGTGGCTGAGTGCAGCTTATCTCTCTCTGCTTTGTGGAGCCCTGGCCAGCTTACATGTTTATCACTTTGTGTTTTCTTCCCATCTTCTCTGCTTATTTCTTTTTCCTTTCCCAGAGAAAGTGTCTGCCTTACGTCTGCATACCGTACACCAAGATAAAGCTTTAGGCCCTGGCTCTGTATCTCTCATGAGCATTAGTAACTCTCAAGTAGGTTTTTACTTACTTTCTTTAACTTTCTCCCTCCTACAAAATACAAGCGGTGGTTTTGTGCTTTTTGTTTGCAGTTTCTAACCGTGCTCCACAGTAGAGGGCGCTGGATGTATTCATTGAATGCACAGTAACTAAACCAGTTGATAGACACTGAGGCAAATAATGTCACCTTT